CTGGCAAAATATTGTGGTATCTTCCTGAATCATTCGTATGATTACTATGCACAATGTTATCTGGTATATAATGGAACCATGACCAGATGCATGGTCCTTTATATCGATACGACTCTGATCAAAGAAGACCTTGTAAATTATTGTAGGATAAAGGCTTGCTGCTGGGACAACCCAATAGACACCTTTTGATTTGTTGACAGTCATGWATTGCATTAGCACAAACAGTTCATCTGACTCATAGTGATAACGTTAAGTATTTGATTATAGTCCTTTTAGATAATGGCAAGTTTAGAATTACTCTCTACAATACGTTGAACCAACTTGGTTTGAATGGTGTTAACTCAGTGCAATCTTAACACATTTTGATGAGCTCATCTGGGAGAAGGATTATGTCTGATGTARTTCAAGCCAAACCCAACAAGAAAAAGGATTCTTTTGCAATGGGTTTGTGTTTAGTTTTATGACGTTAGCTTGACTGTTACAGTAYGGTTGTTCCAAGGTAAAGATATGCCAATCATTGTTCCAATATCTCTCTGTAGGTTCATGAAGCGTAGTCTAAAAAGAGTAATCTGGTCAGTAGAATCTGGTAATAGTGTTAATAAATGTCCTCTAATAGATTTATAGATTCATGTAGTTTGTAGCTCATTAGATTTTTAGTTCATAGAAATAGATGCAAKTATTATTTAGAAAGCAGAAATACAAGTATGTATGTACAGTATAGAAAAGGATGTTACTGTGATTGACACCTGTCAATTATTCAATTAAAGATCTATTTACTGTCTTTACTTTAGGGTGAGCTGGTTAATTGATTTGARCATCATGTAATGAAATGATTGCAGGGAGGTTGAGTAAGAATAGACATTATTTGTCTTGTTGCAATGCTTGCCCATGACGTAGTCTGAAATAGATAAACATTGCAGCAAGATAAGTTAATTAAGTCTATCTAAGTAAATTTTTGATGTTGTGAGCAAAAAWTAGAGAAGGGTTGGTGGACCAATTCCCAAGCCTGTGGCATGCCATCCAGAAAGTCCAATTCTGTCTGTAATCATATACTCAGGGTATCATAGCTGTCCAATTTTGTTAATCACTCGTATGATTACAGACYGAAGAGTYCCTTTCACAGTTCCCTGTGCCATCTCGAAAGSTAGCTATGTCTTTGCATCAAAGTGAGAYGAACCGTGAGCTTGCAATGATAGAAACCTGTTTTTAACACCTTGAACAATTATTCACGTGTCTATCGTTGCAAGCTCATCGTTCATCTCGCTTYGATGCAAAGGCACAGGTACYTTTCAAGATGGTGCAGGGAACTTTGAAGGGGACTATTGGACTTCACTCAGTCCTATTACAGGAACGTCTAGAGCTGTGCCCTGAAGTTTTACTGGTCTTCGTGCATGGTAAGAAAAATTAATAATTCTTTGATGCAAACTGCAATTAATTTTAATTGAATGTTATGATTCCCATCCTGTTATTTCTTCATGTACTATTAATGTTAGTAATTCCATTGCTTATTCTCTTAGAGAGAAAACATCTTTATTCTGAGAATCTACACAGTTTAAGGTAGATCATGTAATTGAATATTTATTCATTTTTTATTTTAAATTCAACAAAATAGAGGTTTCAATTAGATTAACAATAATAATTATTATTTCTTTCCTTAGGACTCTCACTGTCCCAAACAAGCACAGCAGAATAACCCGTTTCATTTGTTAAATAATGCTTGATCACATTACGTTTCCTGKTAAGTGATGTGCCTTCATAGCTTCTTTCATATGAAAACCCATCTACAGGAACAGAGGAAAGATATTTTCACGACTTCTTAGTGACCATATACTGTACTTTAAAGTTGTGCTAAACGACTCTTGGAATTGTGCAAACAGTTCATAGTTGTGCGAACAGCTTCATGTGAAAAGGAAATTGTGCGAAACGACTGGTTACCAATAAAACAATTATTGAATTGGGTTTGCCCATGACATCATAAATTATCAAGACCTTTATCCATCTCAGCCTAGGGCTTTGGCAGATAACATGGTCTTGGTCTTCACAATTTACAATATCATGTCCAATCTTGTCCAATAATGGTTTAGTATTTGATATCTGATCATAGTAACTGTGATAAATAATGTTTCACTTTCATGGTGTTTTTGTCCTTCATAACCGGTGATTTCGATGTGATAAGTTATGAGCTTGCTATTTATTTTTTCCCTTTTATCCCTTCAGACTAGATTCTTTCAGAAAGGTGCAAGCTTCATGAACAAGTATGTTGACTTACAGTGTATTTGATATGTCACTGATAATGAAATACCCTGTGCACTCTACGTGTAATACATACACTGTGCACACCAGGTGTGTTAGATGCACAGGGTATATTATGTTAGTATATGATGCACACTGTATTTGATCTGTTAGATGCACAGGGTACAGTGAGTATCAAATACCCAGTGCACTCTACATGTATTAGATACACTGCACAAACCAGGTTTGTTAGATTGACAGGGTATATTGTTAGTATATGATGCACAGTGTATTTGATATGTTAGATACGCAGGGTACAGTGAGTATGAAATACCCTGTGCACTCTACATGTATT